TTTTAAACCGAAAAAAACGACCATGTATAGTTAGCATGGGTTCAAACTCCGCTCAGTGATGTGTGAAAATACAACACCAAAACAGTTTTCCTGCAAACCACCCAGAGTGCATGTCAAATAAGCCATTCGTGCAGAGCAAGTCACAGTAACTGGTGGTGTAGAGGTAAAACGACCATGTATAGTTAGCATGGGTTCAAACTCCGCTCAGTGATGTGTGAAAATACAACACCAAAACAGTTTTCCTGCAAACCACCCAGAGTGCATGTCAAATAAGCCATTCGTGCAGAGCAAGTCACAGTAACTGGTGGTGTAGAGGTATACACGCTGGCTTTCCATACAGGTATCCCAAGTTCAAGCCCCGCTTCGTGATGTGAGAAAACACAACACCAAACAGTTGTTTTCCTGCAAAACCTCCCCAGTCCATGTCAAATTCACCCATCGGGGAGAGAAAGTCATGGTTCCTGGTGGCGTAAAGGTATACATGCTGGCTTTCCGTACAGGCAACCCTGGTTCAAACCCCGTTCAGTAATGTGAGAAAATTCAACACCAAACAGTTACTTTTCCTGCAAAATCCACCAGAGTGCATGTCAAATACGCCTATCGTGCAGAGCAAATCAAGGTCCATGGTGGTGCAGAGGTATACACGCCGGCTTTCCGTCCAGGCAATCCTGGTTCACGCCCCGCTCAGTCATGTGAGAAAACACAACACCAATTACTTTTTCCTGCAAACCCTCCAGAGTGCATATCAAATATGCCTACCGTGCATAGTATCTCACAGTCACTGGTGGTGTAGAGGTATACACGCCGGCTTTCCGTCCAGGCAAATCTGGTTCACGCCCCGCTCAGTCATGTGAGAAAACACAACACCACTTACTTTTTCCTGCAAACCCTCCAGAGTGCATGACCAATATGCCTACCGTACAGAGTAGGTCACAGTCACTGGTGGTGTAGAGGTATACACGCTGGCTTTCCGTCCAGGCAGCGTGGAACACGTCCAGTGACAGCATAAATGTCAGTTCCAATGGCCTAAAGCTGGGATAGAATCCAGCAAGTTCCCAGTGACAGTTGTCCATGTAGAACAGGGGTTTTAGCCCAAAACAACCATGTGTAAGGCATTTTTATGCCCCCGAAAAACGACCATGTATCGTCCATCAGGCATTTAAAAAAAAAAAAAAAAAAAAAAAACACCATGTATAGGAAGGCATTTTTAAACGAAAAAAACAACCATGTATAGTTAGGCGTTTGAGCCCCAAAAAAACGACCATGTAAAGTAAGGCATTTTT